ACCTCTACTGGTTCACACCAGCTCAGAAGTGCATATTGTTAAGTTTTCAACATTCATGCAGGCTGGTTATTAAACACAGCCATTATTGAAAATTAAATTATTAGTAAAATTTGTTGTTGGAAGGAAGGTTGGGCAATCCTACTTCTGTAGTGATACTGCCTTGGAAACCCAAGGAGAGGTCGCTATGAGTCAGGGGCCAACTCGACGGCACATAACAACAACAGTAAAATTTAGTAATTATTAGTAAAAATTACATACCATGGAGGCTAAAAGAGCCCCTGAAACTATTGCTTTGAGATAATCTTTAAACTTTAAACCAGAAATACCCCCTGAAGTGTTCTTAAAACCAACACAATATAGTTTAGCTTTAACTGGTAAAGAATGTCTGCCTTGAGAATTATACTCTTATGAGAACTATCTGTATGGGATCAGATTGACAACAGTACCTTGAAAGATTAAGTGTGAACCTTAGGAGGCAGTGAGTTTATGTTAATGAGGAAGGAACAACTTAGAAAAGGATATAATCAATGTCATGGAGTTGTACAGTAGAAACTGTTGAATTGGTGTAATTTTGCTGTGTATATTCTTAACAATGACAAAATAAATAAAATTAAATTATATAAACTTAAAATTAAAGAAATTACATTAAAAACAAATTAGCCATTTGGGAGATATGTATCAAAACTGCAATGAGATACCACTTCACATCCACTAGGATGACTATTAATTTTTTTTAAAAAATTTTTTACTTTAAAAAAAATGGTAAAATAGTAAGCATTGGCAAAGTTGTGGAGAAATTGGAGCCCTCATGCGTTGTTGCTCAGAATGTAAAATGGTGTAACCACTGTGGAAAACAATTTGGTGGTTCCTCATAAAGTTAAACAAACAAATGTATAACAGTGTTAATTACAGCATTATTCACAATAACTAAAAGTAGAAAATACCTAAGTGCCCATGAACAGATGAATGGATAAACAAACGATGGTGTTTTGGTTCTTTAGTTTCACTCTAACAGAAAATACCACAGGTGGATGGCTTTAACAGCCAGGTATTTATTCTCTTACAGTTTAGGAGGCTAGAAGTCTGAGTTCAAAGTGCCACCCCTAGGGACTGGGTGAAGGCCTGTTGACATTGGGCTTCAGCTCTGCTTCTTGCTCCCATCCCACTGGAAATAGAGGTTTCTCTTAACTCAGACAGCTGCTGGCTGCTGAGGGTGACAAAACCACAGTTTACTATTAAAATGGCTCAGTCCCAAAAGTATCAAGCAACACGGAAGGCCACTAATTCAAGACTATTTATAGTCCCAAGATTGGCAGACAACCTGGCAGGTCATTGAGATGAAGACTTGGCCAGATGAAGGATCCAGATGTACCAAAAGCTCAAGACCTTTCTCAAAGCATCTTCTTATATACTGGAAGCAGACCATATCCCTAAGGCAGCTACTCAGCTGCTCACAGCAGATTCCACCATGGAGTTGATTACCAGTCTTATCATGGGGAATAACTACATCCAGGTGCCCAGCCATTCAAAACCAGGACCAGTCAAGCTGACACATACTCTTGACTACCACATGTGGTGTATACATATTTCTCAGGTGCCTAGTGTTGCCGTAACAAAATATATTTCAAATGTGTGGTTTTAAAGAACAGGAATTTATTCTAGCAGAATTGAGGAGGCTAAAAGTCTGAATTCAGGCTGTGGCTCTAAGGGGAATTCCTTCTTTGTTGGTAGCCTCAGGAGTTCTTTGGCATTCTTTGGTGACTGTCTCCCCTCTGTCTTGTCTCTGTACCTATCCTGGTGTTTTATAACTCAGGAGTGATTAGGTTTAGGATTTACCCCAACATTGTTGTTGTGTTATGTGCCATCAAGTTGGATCCAACTCATAGCAACCTCTCTTTGGGTTTCTGAGGTGATATCACTACAGAAGTAGATTGCCAAATCTTCCTTCTGAGGAGCGGATGATGGGTTTGAAGGGCCAGCCTTCTGGTTAGCAGTCACCTGCCTTAGGCACTACACTACCAGAGCTCCTTATTAACATAAGAAAAAAGCCTTGATGTCTAAACAAGGTCATATTTATAGGGACAGGGGTTAGGTTTTCAACACACACTTTTTGGGGTCACAATTCCATCCATAACAGCATACAATGGACTATTATTGAGCCATAAAGAGAAATGAAAGGAGCTCTGGTAACGTAGTGCCTAAGGTACTTGACCTTGGGCAATCTACTTCCATAGTGATACTGCCTCGGAAACCCAAAGAGGGGTCGCTATGATCGGGGCCAACTCAACGGCACATAACAACAACAACAACAAATATGCTATAAAATGGATGAGCCTTGAAAAACTGTTGAGTTGAAATAAACCAAACACAGAAGGACAAATCCTGTATGATTCATTTATATAAAATAGCTAGGGGTAAAAGAAGATTAGTGGTTACCAGGGACTAGGGGGAGAGGTGAATGGAGAGGTAAAAGAAATGTTATTTTAAAAACCCACAAAGGTAAAAACACTCAAAACTTGCCATTTCCTAGTTATTTTATATCATCTTTCTATTATCTATGCCTTTGAGGTTATTTATATCTACTGTTACTAGTGTAACAGAAACACTAATAGTGGTGTGCTGTAGAATAACTCTTCTTAATTCCACACACAGGGACATTATGTTGGTCACTTGATATTGGCCCTGGAGGGATATTTACACCATAGAAATTGGCAAACATTACAGATCAGGACTTTTCCTCCCTAGAGAGTTGGTTTACCAATGTACCACTGGTAGTTGTAGGGGAGGCAATAAGTGGGAAGATCCTGGATATATTTAGAAGGAAGATGATGACAATGGCTAATGGATGGATGTAACTTGGCAGAGCCAAACAGCTGTTGCCCATTGCTTTCGTGCCTCTTGGGAAATGCTGGCCGGCTGTCAGGACAGTGGGAGAGTGAGCACATGCCTTGAATAAGGCCTGGAACACAGTAGGTGCTCAAGAAACATCTGTTGCTATTATTTAAACTCTGATGTCCCTGTAGGTCACTGGGCAGGGCTGTATCTACTTGAAGCCTAACACGACATTCTAGAGAACAGGAAAAACCCAAACATGGTCATGTTTGGGGCCAGTTCACACAGCTTCTGCTGGCTGAAGGCATGAGTTTTTCCTTGGGACCCCGGCCCTTCTTGTGTTCCCTTCAGGCTCTCCTTCCTGTGGTCTTTAGTGGCTTCTGGGGGAGCTAGGCTTCCCAGAAGAGACACATAGGAAATAGGGCACAGCAACATAAGGAATTCAAAGTTGATGTCCTCCCTCCCCACCTGGAAACTCCTCCTTAGTCTGTACTCAGGACTAATAGGGCAATTTGCATTAAAACACAGCAATGGCCCCTAAGACTTGACCTTTTGACCACTCTACCTCTTAAAGAAGTCCCTCCCACTTTTTTCCAGCCAGTTCTCTCAACTTCAGGCCTGGGAACTATCGCAATTTCAGTCTGACACCTCCTCCTCTACTCTTCTCAACCTTACAGCCTTTCACCTCCTTCCCACCCTCTCCTGGAGGCCGTACAACCTTTGCTTCCTGCAAGTGGCTTGCAGTGGCATGAAGCGGGTACTTGTCCATCCTTCCCAAGGGCAGGTTCTGACCAACAGAAGATCAGTCAATGTAGCTGGTGGAAGTGATGAGTGGTTTGCATGTCTTTTTTCTTCTGGCTCCATTTGCAGTTTGAAGGCCGAAAGTATTGTGAACATGACTTCCAAATGCTGTTTGCTCCATGCTGTGGATCCTGTGGTAAGGGCTGCCTGGTGAAAGGTTGGGGTGGGGATGGGGGGCAGGGGATGGTGGGCAAGTTCCTTCCTGAGTTCCTCTGAGCATTCAGTCCTAGAACCTGGCCAAGCCAGTGGGAAGTGCCTCTCAGTGCTCTGGGAGGGGATCCCATGGGCACCCCAAGAGCCAGGCTAGTTGCTGGTGTGGATGGGCTATCAGGGGCTGCTCCTCCTCAGGTGAGTTCATCATCGGCCGTGTCATCAAAGCCATGAACAACAACTGGCACCCTGGGTGTTTCTGCTGTGAACTGTGTGGCATGGAGCTGGCAGACCTGGGCTTCGTGAAGAATGCAGGCAGGTGAGGTGGGCCAGGAGGCCCTGGGCAGACAGGGGCAGCTATGGCCACTTACTGGTGCCCACCTTACCATGTCCCTGCAGGGGAAATGGTACAGTACCCACCTCTTGTGCACCTTGGGGACACTGGGGGCCAAGAGTCAGAGTCTCCCTAAGGCTATGGTTATTCTAGGGAGCAGGCTGACAGCTGGTATTAGGAGGAAAGTGGTTGGAGAAGGAGCTGGTTAGAGACAGTGAATGGGATAAATGACTTGGAGCTGCATCATTCCCTGTGTACCACTCACCCTGCTGACCCCGCTGTCAGCCTTTCCCTCCCTTTATCCACAGGCTGAGCTTTGCTGGAGAGAAATCCCCCAACAAGACTGCCCAAATTCACTCTAAACTCAGGACTGTACATTCCATTGCAGTGGTAGGTCTTCCAAACCAAAAAAGCCAAATCCACTGCCATCAAGTCAATTCCAACTCACAGAAATCCCATAGGACAGAGTAGAACTGCCCCATAGATTTTCCAAGACTTAGCTTTATGGAAGCAGACTGCCACATCTTTCTCCCATGGAGTAGCCAGTAGCTTCAAACTGCTGAACTTTTGGTTAGGACCCAACTACTTAACAAACTGCACCACAATTGCTCTTGTTGTTGTTGTTGTTGTTATGTGCCATCGAGTCAGCCCTGACTCATAGCGACCCCTCCTTGGGTTTCCGAGGCCTGGACTCTGCCCTGGTGGTGAACTGTTCATGTCTTAGAGTGAGGGATTTGACCTGCTGATATGTCTGTTTGTTTCTGCAAAAGGGCATGGAGGAGGAACATACTCCTCCTAAAATCTGGGTGGCACCACTGTGGCGTCATTGTCCCTCTGGGATGGCTTTAGCTTGGTTCAGAGGGAGCTTCCAGAGGGCTGGCCATCACAGCTCTGACCTGGCACTCAGCGAGCTCTCATTGGTTTTCCCCTCAAAGCTGGGGTGTGGTCCCATGAGCCTTTTGCCACAGAGCAAGTTGCACAGGGTGTCACGAAACTTCTCAGCCACAAAGAAGTACATGACAGGGTCCAGGGCACCATTGAGGCTGGTGAGACAGGAGGTAATACGGTTACCCAGGGCCAGGTTGCGCTGAGCAGTGCAGGAGGGTCTATGGCTATGCAGGTGCAGCACGTAGATGGAGCGGTGGACATGGTAGGGCACAAAGCAGACCAGGAAGATGGCCAGCACCATGGCAATCATGCGGATGGCTTTGTTCTTGAGGCGTTGTTCCACACGGGGGCCCTGCCGCAGGCTGCGGATGACCAGCAGATAACAGGTGACTGTGGTGACAAATGGGAAGGTGAAGGCCACTGCCAGAGACACGAGGGCATGGTGAGAGGCTTTCTCCCGGTAGAGCTGTAGACAGACAACTGTGTGGTTGTTCTGCACAGTTTGTGGGCTTACCAGCAGTGGGGCCATGGCCACAGCCACCACTACCCACAGGAAGGCACAAGCCAGGTGGGCATAGAGGGGCCTTCGCAGCTTGAGGGATCGGACAGGGTGCACGATGGCCAGGAAGCGGTCAGCACTGATGCAGGTGAGGAAGTAGATGCTGGCGTACATGTTAAGGTAGAAGAGGAAGCCAGTAAGGCGGCAGGGGATCTCCCCAAATGGCCAGTGGTTCCCACAGAAGTGGTAAACAAGGCGGGTGGGCAGGACTAGCACACAGGACAGGTCAGCTATGGCCAGGTGCATCAGGAACACATTTGCAGGGGTGCCTGACTTGTGGTCCCGCACAAAGAGCCACAGGGCCAAGGTGTTGCCGACAAAAGCTAGGATGAAATCAAGTAAGTAGAAGGAGGCAAAGAGGACATTCTCCAGTGGCGTCTCCTGGCCACATTGCTCCACAGCAGCCAGGGAGGTATTTGCCGTCAGACTTGGGGTGGCCACCTCAAGCCCCTTCATAGTGCTGGAGGCAGAGCCAGGGCACAAGCCTAGAGGGAACAAGAATATGGGTCACAGAGCACCTGGGACCCGCAAGTTCTATGCAGCCTCTTGCCTGCCCCCCATCTCCAGTCAAACTAGACACCGGCAGAATCTTCCAGTCCTGACCCAAGGGGTGGAGCTCTCCTGAGTCCAACAACAACAAATGCAATGCACTGCTGTCAAGTCAGATCTGACTCATAACAACCCCTCCTTGGGTTTCCAAGGCAGTATCACTATGGAAGGTAGATTGCCTGACCTTCCTTTCAAGGAGTGGCTGGTGGGTTTGAACTGCCAGCCTTCTGGTTAGCAGTCAAATACCTTAAGTACTATGCCACCAGAGCTCTTCTCTTGAGTCCAGTACCACCTATATGACTACTGAGGGTGTGTGCTGTGTCCATTTGTGGAGGGTGCATGTCACAGGTGTTCTGAATATCAACAAAAAGCAAAACACAAAGCCAGAGCCTGAGTCTTGCCCTGGGATGCTGCCTGGGGACTGAGCATCATGAAGGTGATGCTCATGATTGTTGCATCATGATTGCTCCCCCCGAATCCTGGGCCCAGTTCTAGGCATCCTAGTTGCCACACTCCATTGAGTGCCGTGCTCTGGAGATGACGTGTGAGGCTATCACCACTTGGAATGGCTCCAGGAGATAATGAGAATATTTGTCTTCTATGCTCCAGGTGTACTATCAAAATGGCAATCAGGGTGACACATGTGGGCCCCAAGTTCCACTCCTGAAGATGAATTGGTCTACTAGGGATCCCACAGCCTCTGCCTTACCTCTGCAGCCTCCTCTGCCTTCCCCCAGGAATTTGGCTTTCCCAGAATCCCAACCTCCTGACCTGCCATTTCTCCCAGAGCCTACAGGGCTTTCCAGCACTTACATGATCCGTTCCTCCTTGAGCCCCTGACTGTGCAGCCTACGCATTTCTCCCCCCGAATCCTGACACACAAGAGGGGAGGACAAGAGTCAGTCCCTTCTCCATCACCCAGACTACCAATTCTCAGCCCACCAGCTTTATTAGGGACATCCCAATGGGCTGAGACCTGCATTTTGGAACCCTGTGCTCGGACCTTAGGCCAGCAGGGGGTATCTCACCTCCTGAGTAGTTTAACAGACAGGAGGTGATTTTCCTCTGGGAAGAGAGAGCAGATTGACCTAGAAATAAAGAGCTTCACATGTTTTCCACACAAGTATTTGCAGTTCCAGAGAGTCTTAGGGCCTGGGGGCTTCCAGCTGCTGCTGGACTAGTTCACCCAGTTTGCCCACTTCTGTGGAGCCAGCCTCTATTGGCTTTGCCAAAAAGCCACTTACTCCTGATGAACCCCAGTTCTACCTAGGGTGCTCCCCGTGCCATCATCCATGGAGCAACCAACTCCCGCTTTGATGTGAAGAGATGCAAGGAGGAGTCTCACAAACAGCCATGGCATGGTGGTGGCTAGATGTGGACAGGAGAGGACTGGATGGCAGTGTCAGCAAGGCCTCACCTTGAACTCAGCACTTGCTTTTCATGCTCTTCTGAGAGTTGACTGGCTTCAGTTGGACTGGACAAACCCTTGCCCAAGGCCCCTCTGGCACCTTGACAACACCTGTGGGGCTGGGCTGCAGAAGGGGCCAAGAGAGGGTGTTTACTTCATTTCAGCCTTTCTCCATCTTCCACACTCTCATGTGCAAACACCTGCCCATTGTGGAGCATGTGTTCAGTCCTAGGGGTGGATTTGCTGTCAAGGTTCCATTCACATTCACATGCCCCTGGTGGGAGACATTCCTATTTCCATCTGTCATTTGACCCTGTTGACCTGCCTCATCTGATACTTTGCTAGGACTGCTAGAGTCAGCACACTGACGGAGCAGAGATTTGAAGATGCAGAATGTAGAGAGCAGGATTTTTTGGAAGCTCAAGCAGGTGCCAGAGAGACAGACTTGCATGGAGCACAGTGAAGGGTCTAGAAAGTTGTTGTTGTTGTTATGTGCTGTCCAGTTGGACCCAACTCATAACGACCCCTCCTTGGGTTTCCGAGGCAGTATCACTACGGAAGTATATTGCCCAACCTTCCTTCCAAGGAGTGTCTGGTGGGTTTGAAAGGCCAGCCTTCTGGTTAGCAGTCAAGTGCCTTAGGCACTACTCTAGCCATCTAGAAAGAAGGGCTCCAGAAAGGCAACGTGGAGAGGAAGGCAGTACACAGCCTGAGACAGAGTGGCTGAACCATGACTGTGTGCTGGGGGGTGAGGACCAGGCTGCAGGCAGGAGAGAGAGAAGTCCCCAGAGCCAGAGAGTGGGGAAGGGAAGAAAGGGACGTCCTGCTCAGCATCAGATTACCCAATAACCAAGGTAAGCATGGATTTACTTGTGTTTACTTATAATTATTCAGTACAGATTAGTAAGTAAACACAAGTAAACCCATGCTTACCTTGGTTATTGGGTAATCTACCCCTGAGCCTGTAGCTTGGCAGATAGATGTGGGCAGGAAGGATGGGTTATAGCAAGGAGAAGAGGAAGATGTGAGCAAAGGGGGCATTGCTTGGGAAACCCTGGAGGCTCAGGGAGGGGCTATGCCAATCAAGTGAGAGGCTTCTGTCTGAACCCAGGGGAGAAGAGGCACACAGAAGGCTGAGATGTGTGAACCAGCGCCCTCCATCCCTGGGCCAAGTCTCTGCCAGTACGTCCATCCTCACCTGGCCCCACTGAGAGGGCAGTACACAGGCACCAACCACCTGTGATGCCAGTCCTGGGAGGCAGGTGGCAATACATTTTAGAGTTTAGGAAACAGGATCAGAGTATCCACTAACTTTACTATGATGGTTTGGGTTGGGCTATAGTTCTATGATTGGAAGTCAGATCAGGGACCTCAGCACCTCCAGGCTTATAGGCACCCCCTTCGCAGAGCTGAGAGTGTAGCTCATCTCAGTCTACCCCGGAGCTCCTTCGGAGCCTAGTCCCAGGACCAGCTACATAATTTTGGGGCCTGGTTTTAAGTGAAAACACAGGACCCTTGTTTGAAAAGTAAGACTTTCAAGATGACAGCAACAGAGCATTAAACCAAGCATGGGCCTTCTGTGCAGGGCATCTTGTGTAACTGCACAGGTCTCTTTCCATGACACTCACCCTGCCTGGCCCTTGCTCCTCAAGGAGCTGGACTACAGCCCTTGGAAATGTTCCCAGTAGGCTGGTGGGCAGGCTGGAATTGCTTTCTGCCTCCTGCCTGGATGGAGACTGGCAATAACCCTCTCAAACCTTTGTGATGGCAGCAATGCACTCCCTGGGACCCCCAAATCTTGTTGTCTGGCTTGTTTCTGATGTTCTAAGGTTTCTCTCATCCCTACTTTTCTCTACCTCTCCCCCATATAATGAGAATTGATACTAATTTTTAAAAAAATTCCAGTCACTCTTACTACTTCACCTTAAAAAGTGTAGGTCTTGGCCTGAAGTCCTTCCAGTTCCTTAATGGTAGGGGATGGGGCTTGAGAGTAGCACTGACAAGAAGGCCTAGGTAGTGTTGGGTTGCACAGATAGGGATCAGTGGAATAGGCAGGTGTCAGTGTCTCTGGCCTCCCTCCCAGAAGGATGGATATGCAAGCTAAGGCCATGGTATCTGTGAGAGGGCTATTGTGGCACTGTTGTTTGTGGCCAGTGACTATTGTCTTCTATGTCACATCAGGACACATCTCCCTCCCTGGCCTGATAACTTTTTCCCACAGATTTCTTCATCTGGCACCTTGTGCCAACATAGCCAAACTGGCAAGAGTATAGGTGCTATTTGCCCCTCCTTTATGGTGCTGAGGTCAGGCTATGGTTAGCTCCTAACAGTAGGTCATGTTGTGACCACAGAGAAGGTTCCCTTCCTGCCCCACATAGGACCTCAGTGGTTGGCTGTGCCCAGCCACTGAGCTCCCTGCCTGCCCCATCCCCTTACCTCTCTCCATTGGTCCAGGCAGGAGGGGCAGGAGTGCAGGGAGATGACAGCTGAGGAAAGCAGGTGAGCTGGAGCTGATAGGTGGTAGAGCAGTGGGCCCTTATGGTGAGGCAGGCAGAAGCCTGGCTATTTAAGGAGCAGAGGGGATGCTACATCTCCTCTGGTACTGAAAGGCTGCTTCATTCCTGAGGGAACTCTTGTGTGGTATGGGGCTGCTCGTACGATTGCCTCTTTTGCTATAGTCCATGAATATCTTACTGTTGTCCCAGGGTGTCTCCAGCCCCCAAGCACACTTCACAGAGGCAAAGTCTGTGATCATTCTCAGGCTGGGTAGTGGGCGTGGTGGACTGGGGACTCAGCAGCACTGACAGACACAAGAGGACATTTCAGAACAGGGCAATTTCCTATGAATGGTGGTTGGCATGGGGAGGGGCTGGCTGCCATGCCAATGGGCTGATGTTCCCAAGCCTGCCCTGGGTGCAGCAGAAGGGTCTTGTGAATGGGCGATGGGAGCAAGAGAGGATTGTTTGAATGAGAGGAGACTCTTTCAGGACACTTGCTATGGGGCCCTTGTGTCCTGCCCTGAATAATCAAGTCCTGTTTGGGTATGAGGAATAAATCATGGCCTTTATCTCAGCAGGGCACAGCTGCAGGCTGCCTCATAATGGGGCACTGTATAAGCCTGTGGGATAGGCTCAGCCCAGAGGCTGGCCCTTGGTTATCCTGGCTCCTCCCCTGAACCACTCGGCCACTCCTGCCCTCTGACCATTGGTCCCCAAGGCTCAGCCCAAGGAGGCCTATGGCCAGGCTATGTTTGAGGGTTGGTAGTGGCAACTACCAATGTAGAATTTCTCATCTGGACTTGTTGCTATGATTCTAGTAATCCAGTACAGCCTTTGGCCATGACTGCATATTCCTGAATCTAGGCCCATCCCACAGATGGCTCTGGAGGGAAGCCACAGAGTGAAGACTACAGAGAGTTAGCTCCTTCTCCCAGAGACCCCTCTACTTGCCACAGTGCTTGCCCCAACTCCTACTGAGTCTAAGCCCTGGCTCGTGTCATGGATTCAACATT